CTTTTTCCCTGCAGCTCTCCAGGGAGAGAGGGCTGAGGCTGTCTCCTGGTCCTCTGGCCCTCATCAGCACCATTCCCTTACCACCGGTTTCCAGACATTTGTGCCTTTGCATGGAAACCGTCGCTCTTGAGCAGACTCCCACAGACCTTAATGATTATTCTTCACTCCAACTGAACAGTGTTACTTGCAACAGACACTAACCATTTCTCAATTCTTCTCACTAAAATACCGCTATTATAAGAAGCTCTGTATCCTGCCAGTCATCACGTCAGCCCTTGTTCTTAATCTTCCCCCAAAACAGACAATTATTGTCTTACTTTCCTACCATACAATTTTCCTTTGACAATCCAAAAATAAAGTAAAAATATTATAAGAGATGAAGGCAAAGTTTTGGGTTGTGCTCTCAGAAATCTGTAAAAGTTAATTTCTCACAGTACCTCTGTGTAGGGACTCATTTCACTCATTGGCTCTCTTGGTTGTCAAGATTTTTTTTCTCTGTTACAATGGAAGAGCTTTGTCAGAAACAGCAAGTCTTTTGGTGAGTTACGGGATAAAACAGCTCCCATGAGAGCATGTTTGTTGGTTTTGGTTTTTTACATGGGAGGCTCCTAGGAGCTGTTGCAGCATACCATCTTTCATTGATTCGCTTCTGATATTAAGTTAACAGTAAATTTGAATCCTGCAAATCCAATTTAAAATTTAAAGAATTTCTTGCCTACAAGCTGGGTTGATGGCTTTTATAGTCGGAGGCCACATCATTGTGACATAGAAATTATATATTGTAATTTTAATAGGAGGCAACATAATGGCTGTTGCAATCAGTGCAGTCTTACAGCAGCAAATGTTTATAAATTACTACCATATGCTGATTCTAATAGAGCAAATTTTATTTAAAATAATTATCAGACTTTTCACCTTTTTAAAATGAAATTTGAGTTTAGGCAGGTTTAGTATGGATTTAATATGTTTAGTATAACAGATGATGAAATAAGGCATAAGAAATTGCTCTTATTAAAAATCTGGAAGACCCACAACACGACAAAAACATGCCTGCTCTCCAGCTGGAATGCGCTTGCTCCTTATTGACCAAGATACCAATCAACCGTGAAATGCAAGACAGCTGATGGTTTCAAGGCTGTGTCTGCATCAGAGATTGTATTGGAGATGTCATAAATTATAATTTAGGATGCACAGGAGTTATGAAAACATGTGTGGGTTTTTTTCCCTCGGATTACAATTGCAGTACAGCAGTCTCTGTAACATTCTGGAGTTGATATGGCAGGTGAAAGAAGGGAAAAAGAGAGGGGAAAATGGGTCTTGGAATTAAAAACTTCAAACTGAAAGCCTAGAAATGCAACTCTGGGCTTCAGCAGACTTGCATGACCTTCACGGGGGCTGTGTCTGTGCTGTAGAAGGCTGCAGAGCTGATAGCCGAGCTGGCTGAAGCAGAGCAGCTGGAAATGAGCACAAACTCAGTCTAGGAGGTTGCTGAATAATTTTGGAAACAGCAGTGATCTCAAGTTGCTGTGGTTAAAACTCGTCCTAAACGGGAACACTGCTGCAGCAGTGGGGACACGTACTGACTCAGCCTTGTCTGTGTTCCCAGGTGTGCAGTAGCACTTTCCTGGAGAAGGTGTGTTGCTGTAGGATTAAGTCTGGTAATGTTAACAAAGTGCTCTGAGCCTTCTGATTAATCAGCTGAAACAAAAATATTCTTATCCTTGTTCCAGAGATGTATTTTAATAGTCAGTAGTCCTGAACCTTGTGGCTTGGAAAAAGCAAGATGCCCACAGATCTTTTAATATTGCTTGTAGCCATGCGAAGTGCTTACTTTGATCCGGACTGACAGAAAGCACAGTACAGCGTTGCCGGTATTGCTTAGCTCACCCAGTATTACTGCCCATGGATCTGAGAAGGTTTGGTAACACTAGTCTAAGGAATACTTAAAATAAGAGCATACAGTTTACTTTTAGGGGGTTTGTTTCAGTTGCTTAATACTCTACAGGAACAGTGACAGTGGTTTAATGAAGAAGGATGGACAGGGAGTCTATGAAAGGACCAATACAGAGAAGCAGCAGGAAATGTGGGTTACAGGGCAGAAGGTGTACACTGAGCCTGGAGGTGTCAGTCAAGTAACAGAAATGATCGTTCAGCATCTAACATAACAGGAAATAGATTTTCATCATCCATTTGATATTGCCACAGTGGGTGTGAATACAAACCCATAATTTCTCGTATTTGCATGACAGAAAAGTTAAGCAAAAGGGTGATTGCAGGTAGAGATAGGGAGATATTTCCACATTTATACTAAACTCATCCTAGTCTTCTTGCAATCACAAGGAAAGCATTATCCCAACCTTTTTCAAAGCCAGATTTCTGTTGATTTAAAATTATATCATGCCCTGTTAAAGTGTTTGAGACTCCTAATGCTAAGTTAAAGTGGGTAGAAATAACTTGCTCCCCTTGGTTAGTAGAATTTAAGTGTCTTGCCATACAGTTTTTATTTGTAAGAATGCTTAGCTCCAGTCCTGGAAGACGGTGAGAGCCATTAAACTTCAAAAAAATCACAGGAAATACTCAAAACCTTGCCAAGTGTTTCCTTTCTTTGTTAAATTACAAAGACATAAGTGCTAAAAGTATTGTTCCTACTGTGTTTTTAAGTGAAGTACCAATCTTTCAACTCTCAAAAAGATCCCCCTGTTCCCATTGAAATATATGGAACAATTTATGGGAAATCAGTGGGATTGCTCATGTGAATAACATGTACGTTCTCCAAAAAGGTATTCTTGGTGCTTGTCTAATAACATGCTATTGGAGCTTTGTTTGAGTGAGACTCGCTGTGATACAAGCGTGCTCTGAACCCCGGCGAGCAGTGCGGCAGGTTACCTGATGTCTGGGTTTGTTAATTATGTGCCAAAGCCCCAGACTTGGGGCGGGCGGTGTGTAGCTAACAGGGCTCAGCACAGCCAGCAGCAAGCCGTGGAAACGCTGAAGAAGGTCTCCAGTTCAGTCCTACCAGGACTGCAGTAGGGTGCATATGAGAGAAAGGGATTAATAGCCAGCTAGCATGGCCTCCGTTAGCTGCCTACATGTCTTCATCTGGGGAATGGATGAGTACTTCACTGGGGGAGCAGGCTGGGGTAGATGATGAGGAAGTGCTGGTAGCACCCACTTTTTATTTAAAATTTTAACCACTCTTCTATTCAGGCTGTGGGTGACCAAAGCCGGGTCACTCCCCTTCCACAGGTATTCACAATTACCTTGCCCTGGGGAGCAGACCCAGTGAGACAGGATAACCCTGCACACTACATCCTCCTGCCCAGCCAGCCCGGTGCTCCGCAGGAGGAGCAAAGCCGTGGTGATTCCCTAGGGCAGAGGAGCACGAGAGGGCCTCCCACCTGTAAACTGGATCTAGTGGTGAGGGACATACCTCAGAGAACAGATAGGGGGGTTGACCCTTGGGTGTGGATCATTTATGCTACTTCATTTGGTGGCAATTAGCACAAAATCATTAAACAGTGACTTAGGAAGAGACCACAGTTTCTGCCGTAACAGCACTATAAACAGGGGCTCCAGAACCACACTCTTTCTTTGGCTCCATAAAATCTTTTAACCCCATCCTTTCTTTGGCTCCGTAAGATCTTTTCTGCACAGTGGTGAATCTGCACTATTAATGAAAGCCTTTGTACCTGACATCATGCACCCAAGTCATCTCCAGTTCTGCCCAGGCATGACAGGTCAGGCCCGGGGGCAACCTGGCACTCAGATACAGAGGGCTTCAGTCAGGGGCTGGGCAAGAAACCCAACCACGGCATTCTCCAGATCGTCCTCTGGAGTCCGTGGCATCACTTCAAGGATAAATAAATCCTTCCTTTGGTCTGGAAGTGCCTGAAATTACTTGTCTGAAGGTTTTTCTACATGGCAGGCTATTTTAAAAGTGAAAAACTCTGGAGCTTAAGGCACCCAAGGGTTCAGTGGAAGATCCTGAAGAGCACATGCTGACTGGCAGAGTTTTCTCAAGAGAAGCCAGGGCTGTGGAGTTAAGCATTTTGATATGAACAGACCTGAACCTGGATCTTCTGCTTCTAAATTTGTTCTATAGCCACTAGACAAAAGCAGACTTGCCTGCTCCTTCACTCACCCTGTCAGCCTCAGCATCAGAGCTAGCCTCTCAGCAAGGTTCATGCCTGCTTCATCTGTAATCTGAAATTTCCTTTAGGCAAGAGATAGGTGACAGTAACTTGATTGCAACCACATCACCTCTGGGCATGCACAGTAACAAGAATCTTGTCTCCTTATTTGTAGTGAAACTGCCAAAGTATAATTTCTGTGTAGAAGGCAGTGGACACAGAAGTCCTTTTATGAATCTTAGAGGAACTGTTTCCTTTTTAAAGCATGAAAAGGCTGAACAGAAAGGTTTAGAGCTTGTGGAGCACATTCTGTGAACAAATGGGCATATAAACATACCCTAAAATACAAACGTACCATAAAATTCACCGAGTAGATGCTCAAAGATCAAAAATCCAGTGCTTCTGATACTTTCCATAACTACTAGTATTAGCTATGTAACCTAATAGTGTGTAAAACTGGTAGGTTAAAACTGAAACAAAGGATCCCACCCCTCCATACAACGAAGGGAAGATAACTCCTCACTGCATTTCATGGGGAACACAGAGTGCTTGTGTGCTTATTCCATTTGGTGTTTCTCATTTAACCATGAGTTAATTTGGTGTAGCCTTAAAAAGGAATAATGTGCTCTGGAAGGTGTTTCTCTGAACTGCTCATAAGCAAAGGTTTTCTTTTTAACTATGGCTTACCATTGATGATTGTTTCATGGGAAAGATTTAATTATATCATCTTAGTACTTTTAACCTGATACTGCTCATTAAAAAATGAAAATATTCAAGCATTCCAAAAGTGTATTTACCTCTTGTTGATATGGCCAGCCTTTCAGGTGGTGGTAGAGATGTCTAACCTTCCCTGTCTGTTTACAATTTCAGGAGCACGGAAGTCATGAGTACTGTCTCAGGTACACGAAGTACAACAATCACTTTTACTGTCCGACCTGGAACCAGCCAGCCGATCACACTGCAGAGCAGGTCCCCAGACTATGACAGTAGGACCTCAGGAGCAAGACATGCTCCAAGCCCTGTGGTTTCACCAACAGAGATTAATAAAGACATCATGCCTGCTCCTCTGACTGCTTCTGCTTCAGCTTCATCTCCTTCTCCAACTTTGTCCGATGTATTTAGCCTACCCAGCCAGCCCCCTTCTGGGGACTTATTTGGCTTGACCACAGGGCGCAGCAGGTCTCCTTCTCCCTCAATATTACAACAGCCAATCTCAAATAAGCCTTTTACAACTAAGCCTGTCCACCTGTGGACTAAACCAGATGTGGCAGATTGGTTGGAAAGTCTAAACTTAGGTGAACATAAAGAAACATTTATGGACAATGAAATAGATGGCACTCATTTACCAAATCTACAAAAGGAAGATCTGATAGACCTTGGAGTGACTAGAGTTGGGCACAGAATGAACATAGAAAGAGCTTTGAAACAGCTGCTGGACAGATAAGAATAGCTATTTTGCCTCACAAACTTCTGTTGATAACTAGAGATGGGCTGGTACTGAAATACCCCAAATGCCTTGGCTGTCTGCGAGTGCCAGCAAAATTGGGGGGCGGGGAGGGGGAAAACAGTTTAATTCCTGGTACTCAGGTAATGCAGACTGTATGCTACATGCCCAAACATAAATCTAAATATGTTACACGAGTGGGGCCATTTTATTTCAAAGCTGTGGGGAGATTTGAGAGAGAGAGAGAGAAAATTGTTAACTTCAAAAATACTATCTCTTGATAACGCCCTTCTGCTGGAACCATTACGTACCACTTTTCTTTCAATGTAAAATTGCAAGCGTTTCATTTTTTTATTGAAAAGCACTATATTCTCTTCTTGACATTCAGTCTCCGAGCGGGCTTCCTTCCCCAGCCCTTAGTTCATTTTAAGAGGACAGATTGCTTCATTACCATTCAAACCCATTTTTATTAGTAGCAGAGGCACAATATTAAGATGACAGGTACAGGAGTTCATATTACTGGTTTTTACTAGTTTAGCGCTCTGATTTGTTGGCAGTGAAGCTGGTTGTTCTGCTGGAATTAGTTCAAAGGTAACCTTGCTCTGTTTTACCTGGTATTTCTTTATTTCTGCAGTTATACTTAGCACTCTTCCAAGGTGGCAGAACAAGTTCAATACATGCTCCATTGACTTGACCTGTAAGACGATGCAGACGTTGCATAAAAACTGAGGAGGAATGCACACTTAGAGGTACAACAAAATGAAGCTAGTTTGAACCTGAGACCCCCAGTTTTCAACCAGCTAAACTACTGCTGTCGCAATATGAACTCTACAAGCCAGTAAAAATTTGGGGTTGTGTACAGGCGCATCTTTTGGACTTCACAGTCAGATACTCAAATGTGCTGAACCCTGAGAGGTAATTCAGTGAGTGGTAAGTGCTTAGCTGTTTTGAACATCAGACCAAGAAGGAATAAAAAGATAGACGAATGTTCCCATTGAAGAACAGTCAGTGGGAAGGTTGCCAGTATTTTAAATGAGAGAGGGATTTCAGCCTGTTAGCAGGAATGGAAATGTTTCAGCTTGTTAAGAAACCAAAAAAGGTAAAAAAGGTAATGCCAAGATGGAAAGAGGTATATAGTCTCTCAGCAGGCATGTGTTCCGAGGGCCAGGAGAGTTGGGTAGGTATCCAGTTTCTCGTTTTTATCGCTGTTAGCAGGCGCTGGCTCCCTGACAAGGAGAGCAGACTGAGCACTTCAGGGGAGCTGGGCGCTGCCCACCGGCCTCCAGCCATTGCTTTGCGCGGCCCTTAGAGCGGTGGCGGGAGAGAAACCAGGGCTGTGCCCGGCGTGGGGGGGACAGAGCGCCAGACCTTTCCAGGAGACTTCGGTCAGCAGGGGAGAAACACACAGATTTGCTTAATCTGACTTTTTTTTTTTTTTTCTTTCCTTTTTTTTTAAAGTTAACAAATCTCTCTCTGCATGTTTGAACTCCCCTTGTAATTAACACCTCTTAATATCTGTGAGTTTTGTAGGTCTTTATTAACATAATATTCAAGATGTTCAAGGTGGGTAAATTGTGTGTGGATGGCTAGACTGCCTACCTACCATTCTTTCAGGTTCTCTTACATTTTGCAAGGTACCTGAACTTTTTTCCTTGATAATGGTCCTTGATATGGTCCAGCCTATCTCTAATTTTTTTATTGTGATTATTTTTGCTCACAAACAAGTGTCTAATTAGGTCTGCAACAGCCCTAGTATGAGTACATAAAGTTTAGCATTTTAAATATCTTTCTTTACTGCAAGTTTAAATAGTTGTACAGATAGTTTATAAGCACAATATTTTAAGAAAATAAGTGGCTGGTCTACTGGGCAGCCTTTGTGCCACTTCAGTGCTAGAAAGTTAAAAACAACAAAAAAAAACTTTTGTGGTTTACTACTATTTCTGTGGAATAATTATAAAGTCTTGACCTTTTTAAAATCAACCTCATTTGGATGCATCTGAACCAGCAGAGCTGTGTTATATTTTCTATCTTTGCTAGAACTTCTACAAAGGAGGATGAATATTTCTTCAAAAGTGGTTATAGTTACCAACGCATTGGATACTCATAAAAAGCAACTTATTTAGCCTCCTGCCCCCTTTACGGAACAACAAATCTTTTGACTTAACATCTGTTACTACGCTATATTTGTATTTGAAAGTTCCAAGTAACCTTGTAATAAAAATCAAGTACTAAGGCATTTTACTTTCAAGAGTACTGAATTTTTCCATAGGTGTTGTAGAAAATGGCAGTTTCATTCAGATAGTTGATACAGGCAACTTGAGGCCATCAAATACTTTAAGAAGTGTAAAAATGGTAATTTAGCCATCATTGTCTTCCATTTGGTGATATGACAGAATTCAGTAAATAAACCACTAATGCCATGCTCTTTTTTTTGTTTCTTTGGGTACAGTTGATATTACCTCTATAACATGTGCCAGAAAATACATTAGAAAATATGGTAGTAAAAGAAAATGTAGAAGTTGACTTTTAAGCTGCTTTTTAATCACAACCTTCTTGTTGAATTTACATTGAACGAGTGCTGACATACACAGTAAATTACAGTTGACATCCCTTTCTTACACAGGTGTGTTTCTTGCTCGTGTATCTTTTCAGGTACTGAAAGACTAGGTACAATACAATTAGTAGAAAAGAGGTTTAACACATTAAAGAGCTAATGAAATAGTTTATTTTTTACATTGTGTCTTACAAAGTAAAGGTAAGGAGACCTGAGAGGACCTACTTTCACCAATAAAATACACCTCTGCCAAGATGAATTGGTCTCTAGCTCTGTGTGATGATTTTGCTACAGAAAGCAATAGTAACAGATACGACGTTGCCTCCGAGTATTTTCATCAGTCTGGAAATGTTGGGGGGAGGAGAGAAGACCCATTTATTTCATGCTACTATGATAGTGAAAAACGAGTTGTTAGAGATCTATGAAATACGTTACGATATTCTGGGTTTTAGGATCAACTTTTGTTTATATACTGTAATTTAAATAAATTGCATTTACATGCCTAGTTTCTGTAATATTTGTGTATACAATACCAAAATCTTACAAGATGTAAATTGTGTATAACTGCACAGACTCCTTTCCCTAGGTGTCTGAGAACATTTTAAGTTTAATTCATATATTATAAAATGACTAGATGTGACTGTTGATTTACAGAATTTACATATCACAAAAGTTAATTATTTGTGGTACTTAAGTTAATAAAAATAGTGATTTTTTTTTTTTTCTCAGTTCTTAAAAAGCATTACCCAGTTGATCTGGCGATGATTATGTGTATGAGCCACAAATATTGATAATTTTTCCATTACATTTTTTCTTTTATTTTCTAGATATTAATATGTTTCTCGCTATAGTTTGTGTAACAACTTGTGTTCACGTTATCTATGTTGCTGTAATTTTTGTGCTTTAATTCCTCTTATTTCAACTGATTAAAAAAATCAAGCTCCTGTAACTTGCACTTTTCCCCAATCCTTAATACTCTTGTATGGCAACCAAAATTACTGTAAGAAATAAATATAATATTGCACTAAGGTTGTGGTTCTGATTGCAAACAGAGAACACTGTCTGAATTTTTATTAAAAAAAGTTGCCAAAAAACTTGCAATCTGATGTTATTGAAGGTGCATAAAATGCTTTAACAAAATGTAGATAGAATTAAGGCAAAATAATTGATTTATTGTTGGGAAAACCGTTTTCTTTTCATCTTTTTGGTTAAAGCATTCTTTATGCCGAATGTTTAGTTCGTTTACTGAATTTCAGATTCATGTTTGAAATTTGAAACGTGAAAATTTTCAGCCAGAGGTAGAAAAATGCATATCTATTTGCCTTAAGGTGGATTTCAAGTTATCATTGAATATTTCTTTTCTTGGCTGAGCGTGTGTGTGGGAATGCATGCTCCGATCTTAAGTACTACTGGTCGTATAAGGCACTCAATTCTGGATCTGTTCTGCAATTTTATAAGGCACTGAAAAGTTTGGGCGGGGTGGGGGGACTGGAGTTTTTGTAGGGCAGAGCAGCTTTACAGAGGAGAAAAGGAAAACAGTGCTCCTTATCAGACTTTGTGCATCTTGTGACTGAAAAAAATGTACCAGCAGGGTATATTTGTACTGTGAATAAACAAGGCTTAAAATGGAAAAAAATAAGGAAACAATTCACATCTTCTTTGGGCTTAATCTAAAAATTTGTTTTTCTATCTTTAAATGGTGATGCAATGAAGAATATTTTTTATTTTTATTTTCTAAGATACTGGAATAAATGAATGCCTAGAACTGTTCCATTTGGTTTCATATGTTCCTTAACTATGATTCTCTTCTCAGATGTTGTTCTAGTTCATCATTTTTGTAGTTACCTATTATTTCTCTCATATTTTTCTAACAACAATTACGTGGCAGCTTTTGTTAAAAAAGATAGAAGACAAAAACAGCCCTTTTTTTTTATTATTATTATTATTATTTCAGGTATTGTGGCAATCCAGTGATTAACATCTGTATCTAAATAAAGTCAGGTATTTACAGTGCAAAACAAAGAATGCTTTGCAACTGTCGATGCTTTGTTGGTCAAAGAAGTGAGAAGATTTCATCATTGCTGTTGTAGTGTGCATTGTATCAATGTGTTGTGTTTTGTTTCGTCCCTGGTTTTCTGTATTTTTCTGCATTTTGTGGTCTTTCATTCCTTTTGTCCAAAACCATGAAAAAAACCCAGTAGCTATGACGGGCCATCCAGAATAGCACGATTGTAACAATATGTCAGAATATGTGGTTAAAAAAAAAAAAATGTATGTGCCTTATAATTTTCAACCTGGATCAACTACACTGTATTTAACATAAAGAGCTTTATCTTCAAGGTATTGTAGTATCTGACAAAAAGAGGTTGTAGTGCTGGTTTTTTGAAGTGAGAAGTCCATGTCGCTGCATTAGGAAAAACGGTTAGAAAAACTGAAATTATTTACATCTTATTTTGAAACATTTTTGGCATTTTGAGACTGAAGTCCTCTATTCAAATGGAGTAAATGAAGGGGAAAAAAATGAAATGAGACTGTTATTTTGGGTTCAGTTTACTACCATACTTGCTTGGTTATTTGTGTAGTTGACATGTACTGTATTTCACAGACAAGGTAACAATAATAAACCAAGTGGACTTAATGCTTTTAAGTCTGAAACAAACTGGTTCTATAACACTGACATCTAGTGGAATTTGATGGATGTAGTCTCAGAGCAATATAAGATCTTTTAAAATATGTATTTATTTTAAACAATTGTCATTCTTTCTACAAGAAGTCATTTTAGCAAATTTTTTATTATTGTAAGTTGGCCTGAATATTTAAGTAGAAAAAAAAAAAAAAAGAAAAAGGCTGACTGTATAATTACACAAATTATATGCTGAATGAGAAATCTTTAAAGCACTGTAATGTGTTTTCTATTTTATATGTGGTTATGTTTTATCAATTTTATGTTTTGAATGTTAGCATCTCCATATGATCCTTCATCTGCATCAAGCATGTTTTTTTTAATGAGAATATAGGTTTTGTCTCCAGTGCTGCAAATCTCGGACTGTTTTGAACAATTTCAAACATTGCAATCTGATGAACAGCAGCTATTTCAGATCCAAACTGCAAAAGAGTGCAAGGTATTCAGGTTAGCAATTAGTTCAGAATAGCTGGTGGGTTGTTTCCCAGATGTACTTGCAGGACTGAAGTTTGGTTTCTCAAGTTAAATTTAAGTTTTTCCTCAGGACTAATGCTAGAAGGAATACGTGCACGTGTGTGAGTTCTTGTATGCTTTTAATGTAAAGGTTCTTGGACAGCGTTAGAAATTAATGTACAAATAGGACACCAGTGTTGCATGTGCTTAAAAATGTATTGGAATAAATGTTGCAGTGTACCTTTTTGCTTTGAAAACCTGAAGAGAATACAATATACAGAAATCTCAAAATGTAATTCATGTTTTAATGGGTTATTTTCCACTGATATTTTTGCATTTTCTAATTGTCTTTATTCTCTTAGCTCCCTTATATATTTAAAAGCAATTTCTTGTAACTTCGGAAAAACAGCGCCTTGAAATAGCTGTAACTGAGGTCTGGGGGAGAGGAGATAACCTCCTTGCTGCACAGCTTTCTGAAACCTTTGATTCATTTTCCTTAAGGGTGTTCTTCAAAACAAATCCTGAGGGAAGTGTTGCCGCATACGGTGCTGTAAAGAATTCACAGCAGAATTCCCTAAGCGGGCCCTCGGTTGTCCATGATGAATTTAACTGCCAGGCGTGGTACTCCCTCCCGAACCTGCCCCCTTCAGACTACTTAGTGAGGGTTTTGCTTGGAAGTCAAATTACCAAATTACATTTTGTTCTGACCTTGTTGGTGCATCTTGAGGTCTCATTTGAAGCTGGTATCAGACCTTGTAAGTCTGTGGGGAAGTCAAGATGAGAGCTCTAAGGCTCTCTAAGAAAGGTGGCTGGGACAGAACTTGAAGTGTTGTTTACTTTTTAGTCTACACAGAGCATCGAAAAATGAGCAGAAGTAACTTCTTTTATCTGTGGACATAGTAGAATTTGAGCTCTGTGTCTAATTGTGCAAAAAAATACTATTGTGATTACAATTTTATTTTTTACTTCAAGCCATGCTGTATCCCCTATTCTCCATTTGCTCTCTCAGCAATTTTCTTGCTTTACAAAGCAGTGGATGTTAGTTTTAACGTGTGCAATATTCTGTAGGTCTGTTTAATTCACCTGTAAGACTTTACTGTGACCCAGTAACAGATTAGATGTTGTACATTTCATCTGAGGTTATTTGAAATCTCTAATAATGCTAATTTTCTGCATGACACAGAAGACCTGAAACAAGGGTAGGTGACTTCCAGAAGATACTTTGCAATTTTTAGAAGAGAATTTTTCTTCCAGAGAAAAATTCTTCACGTGCTATGTGTATTCAGAGTAGATCACTTACACCCCTTGCCTTTTAGTCTATCATTTCTGCACGTGCCCTCACTCAGATGAGTGTTCTCATACTGCCTTGGTCCTGTTAGGCAATCTTCAACCCTTTAAAGAAGAGCCACTAATACTAGAACTAATACTGTGTGTGTTAACTGCTTGTGCTGATGACAAGGCTGGTTTATTCGCAGGGATGATCAAAGTAGTGTATTATACACTTGAAGGATCAGTGCACTGGAAACAAGGAAAATTTGCTTGTACAAAACACAGCGTGCAGAAAAATCTCACCATGAATCCATGGGACTAATCTGTTGGAGGTGACAGAGAGGAAGAGAATACCTTGTCTTGATAAAGCCACGCACAATACATAGCCATCAAAAAGGCAAGGCATTTTCAGCAAGAACTAAGGTCCTATTAATGTGAGTGGGCTGCAGGGCGTTCACAGGAGCTCATCTGCCACGGGTACAATCAGGATAGGTGTGGGAAACAGCTGCTAGCGAAATGCTGTGAGTGGGGGCTTACAGCGGGTTTTAAAATGACTCGGTCTATTTAACCAAGCAAATAGGAGGCTGAAAGGAGATGTCTGCTTTTCCCACTCACATGAGTGGGTGAACAGGCAGGAGAGGGATTTTAACTAAAAGGAACGCTGGAGCTAGAAGAACATGTTACCAATTGGCAATGAATAAATTCAAATTAGAAACTGGGAGAAGAGTGGGGCTGCAGTGTAATCTCCTACAAGGAGTAGCATGGGAGTTCATGACCCCAGGCACTGAAAGTTCATAAATTGAGGAAAATTCCTGTGTTTATTTCTTATGCCATGCAGTTTACCCCGGGGGGGGTTGCACCTTCTGTGCAAACTGTTCTGCCAAAGCCACTGGCTGAGCTGGGAAGAAGAGGGAGGTGGGAGCTCAGCCTACCCTGGGGGTGAACCCCCTTGTTTGGGAGGATGGCTGGAGGCTCTGGACCAGCGCGCTGGCGCTGTGCAGTGAGGGGTGGCACCTTCCACACAAAGCCCTTCTTTTGTAGGAGAGGCTGTACGGGGGCACAGGCCGAGTCTGTTCACCAGAGAGCAGGGTGGGACCCGAGGGGCTGGCACGGGGAAGTGCAGCCCTCATAGATCACTACACCTGCCGCAGAAGGTGATGACTGCATTCAAAAAATAGCAATTAGACTAATACTGAAGTACTAGAAGAAGCACTGGAGCAGAGAAACAAAGCCCAGGAGAGGAAAACCTAATGCTAGGCTGCAATATTAATATATTTCAGGGGAGAGGGGCCGTGTACTGCCAACGGTTTGTTCAGGAAAGATAAAAACCTGCCATCTCTGCACGGCAGCACATCCTCTTGTTAGCATAATAGTAGGTGTTTGAGCTGCTGCTCATTAGTGATTAAATTCAAGATTAGACAAGTTGGGGAGTAAGCATCTAGCCCTGATGCTGCTGTTGCCAAGTGCTGTACCAGTTACTCCTCACCTTCAGGTTTTGTTTGTTTTCATGGGTTGTTTTGTTCTTTTTATACAATAAATAAATAAACCAGCCAAAACCCATTGGATTGCTGTTGGCATCACTCACCCCTCTCCGCTGTAGCTGGGAGTGTTTATGTGTA